ACCTCTATGGGATAAAGCGCTACAACCAATTAGCATTTAAGAACAAAGTTGTTTTTTGTGATTTGAAACTGAACAGAAAGTCAGATACCAATGGTGCAGGCCATTGCTGGAGCCAGCGCTCCATGAAAAAAACAAATTGCACCCTTATGCTTTTCCCACTTGGGAGGCCTGCATCCCCTACTCTCATCCCCAGGGTCCCAATACTACAACTGCTGCCTGTAAGAATGACTGTGTGTGTTAGAAAAGAGAAACGTTTCCTTCATTCGGTCACTTCAGTGGGCAGGACTCAACAGTATTGATGGTCTGATTTTCAGCCATTTTTCTAGAACTTTAAAAAGAAATTTGATTATCAATTATCTTTTCCTGTGGTTTGGTATCTCAGCAACAGCTATATACAGTATATAAACTGTGTATTTAAAATACATTTTAATACATAAAAATTCATATATAAAATTTATATTACTTTTCAAAATACACCTGCCACTTTCTAGAAGACATCAAATCCAGTCTTGATGGTGGAGGTGTGGTAGGGGCAAACTTTCTAGATTTGAGAAAGGCCTTCGACACAGTTAATCACCAACTTCTCATCAGCAAACTATCTGTTTTTTCTCAATCTTAATGATAGACAACAATGTGTTAAGGTTGACGACACAAAATCACCCTTAAGACCGTGCAACATGGGAGTGCCACAAGGTTCCATTCTGGGCCCCCTGCTTTTACATTATACATAAATGATCTGAAAACTGAGTGTAAGAGTAAAATGTATTATACGGTGCTATTTGCACGTGGGAAAACTGTGGATGAAGTCACTCAAAAACTGACCAAAGAGATCAAGAAAGTTCATCTTTTGTAGGGTGTGGTGATGGCGCAGTGGATAAGACACATGCCTTTGGTGTGAGAGACCTAGGTTCGAATCCACTGCGAGACACCAATGTGTCCCTGAGCAAGACACTTAAAGGGTTAGTTCACCCAAAAATGAAAATTAAGTCATTAATTACTCACCCCCATGCTGTACCAACCCCGTAAGACCTTCGTTCGTCTTCGGAACACAAATGAATTTTTGATTAAATTTGAGAGCTGTATAACTACCACATTGGCTCCTAAAGGACTGCCTCTTGACGGCCCAGAAAGTCAATGAAGAAAATGTTTAAATATCCCAAGTGACTACCGTGGCTCAACTATATGTTTATCAAGCGACGCGAATACTTTTTGTGCGAAAAAACAAACAAAAATAACGAGTTTATTCGACTATTTCTTTTCTTCCTTGTAGGCCAGAACGAAAATTCCTTAGATTTCCACGACGCATGCGCGAGATTTGCGATCTGCTCACACCAGCCTTCACTACTTCAGATCGCAATTCTCGCGCATGCGTCGTGGAAATCTATAAGGAAGTCTCGTTCTGGCCTACAAGGAAGAAAATAAATAGTCGAATAAACTCGTTATTTTTGTTTGTTTTTTCGCACAAAAAGTATTCGCGTCGCTTGATAAACATATAGTTGAGCCACGGTAGTCACTTGGGATATTTAAACATTTTCTTCATTGACTTTTTGGGCCGTCAAGAGGCAGTCCCTTAGGAGCCTATGTGGTAGTTATACAGCTCTCAAATTTAATCAAAAATTTCTTCATTTGTGTTCCGAAGACGAACGAAGGTCTTACGGGGTTGGTACAGCATGGGGGTGAGTAATTAATGACTTAATTTTCATTTTTGGGTGAACTAACCCTTTAACCCCTAGTTCCTCCAGAGGCGTGCGACCTCTGACATATATAGCAATTGTAAGTCGCTTTGGATAAAAGCGTCAGCTAAATGAATAAATGTAAGTTTCTTTGTGGCTGAAAAACTCATGCCTCACCTTAAATCTAGATAAGACTGTTTCAATGTTTTTTTACAAATCGTTATCCACAAGTTTCCGAGGGGCGCTCCTGTAAAAAATAAAGTGGGTGAAACTTCCGGTGAGGCGGCGGAAGTAGCATTCCAATGGTATTTTGTGTGTTAGCGAAGAGGCTAGCTGTTTTTCGGAGAATTATTTTACTATTTAAAGACGCAAATCTTTATGAGAGATGTCGTTACGGAGCTCAGGGACAACATGTGCTGCTCGCGGTTGTATGTATAACCGGACTAAACTAGTTCAGTGGCTTAAACGTGATTGTTTTGAACATAAGCTGAAAACGAAATCAGAGTGATCCTGCCAACGACTGTAGTTTCCATCACCTCCCAAAAGACGACGAATCTTCCTGTGTACATTTGTTTAAATTCTTAATATTCTATAAACTCTATCAGCATGTGATTGGCTGTTCTCTACTGATGTTACACCTAAACTCAGGATCAAAGCCTGTGTTGACAGAATACCAAATGTGCCAGTTAATGTATTCAATCAGCACATTCATTTATAATTTTGAATAAACTCCAAAGCACAATGACTAAGTGTGTATTTTTTATTTTAATTGTTTGTCAGCTCGCACAACTGTCTGTCACCATGCCTTGATGAGTATTGATTATTAATAATGTTATTATAATACTCCCAATCAACGACTGCGGAGGGTAAAGGTACTGTTATTTCACCCTTTTGAATTTCGTTGAGGTTGTGTTCCCACATCGTTAGCTAGTTTGGATCGCTATAACTTGAATGACTGTCAACTGTTGAATGAACGAGTGTCAAGCATGTCAAATCGCCCTTTGTTTACTTCCAACCGGAAGTCGCGCCCACTTTTGACGCAAGGCCTCATGGGGCGTAGGAAACTTGTGGATAAAATACAAAATTGTCCAAAGATCTTAATTGATGGACAAATCATTTCAAATCATGTCGGTTACCTGATCAAAACATTTAGGTATTCATATTGGAATCAAATTCAGGCTGGAATCAAATTATGCCTTTAAAATAAGCATTTTGATTATGAGCAGTGAGGACCTGTTCATGTGCGAGTGTGTCAGTAGACATCAGTGTCCAGTGAGATCCATCCTTCCTCAAGAATTAGTTGCTGAGATACCAAATGTACCATATCACGGGAAAAGATATTGGATATTGTGTTCAGAATTTGTTGAAAATGGAGTGCTCAGCAAGAGCGAAGAGTGACTACGCTGTTCATTTGGGCTCTTTTGATGTGGAAAAGAGAGACTGCAGAAACCTTTGGTATCAGCACAAAGGCAGCTGAGATCTGATGTGATGTGTGAAGAGAGCAAGAGAGAACACTGGGATGATGAGACAGTCAAGGTTATCTCGTCAATAGTCATGACACCATCCGTAATGTGTCCGAGCGTGAATACTGGCTCGCTGCTAATTTCATTTCAGACAGTAAACTGATCTAAGGGAATGAGAAGGAAAACGGGCCAAAAAACAAAGTATGATCATACACACGGGGAAGGGGGAGGGAGAAGGGTTTTGAAGGAAGAAAATGAGACTACAGGGGTACGGTAGGGAAGATTAGAGCTTGCAAGAACCACAGTCAGTTCCTCTGCTTCTATTGTTCCAACAAGCTCCGCTTCGACGGAAAGGGTGGGGTTGTTAGCATGAACCACATGCAGGTTTGTAATGCATTGCACCACCGAGAGCAAGAAACCTCAATTTTCGGCTCGGCGACAGAGCCGTTCTGCAATTAGAGAAAAATATATGCATAATGCAGATGGCAGCATTCGCACTCAGCGCCGAAAGGCTTTGAACCTCCTCATGCACGGATTTGAAGTCTCCTTTCTCCAAGCTGTCTAACAATACAAAGAGAATTACTATTTCATGTATTATACTTCCCTGCTTTGCAGAAAACCCGTTTCATCTGCTACGGATTCACAGGTTATCAAACAGTGCAAGAATTGTTGAGGGATGTAATCCTAAACACCTGTCCCTCCTTACCATCCACTCGGGGACCAGGGATGTTAACATTCCATTAGATGCGGGTAACATCGATATGAGCAGCTTTTGTTTTTTATAGCAGGTCTGCTCTGATAGGGTCGTGGACAGAAGGAAAATACTAAGCCTGTTGCCTAAAAATGTTGTGTGAAAGTGAAGAAATGAACACTATCACATATTAATACTCCAATCCTCAAGAACAAAAACAAAAAAATATTTATATATGTATATAGAATACATATATTATATTCATAGCTACATATTCTACATAGCTTTATATTCTATATATATATATGTGTGTGTGTGTGTGTGTGTTGTATATTATATGTCTAACAAATATATTATAAATAACATTACAAATAATCAATTAATACGGTAAAACATAGAATTAATAGAGATGTATTTATTATTAAATCGAAGAGTGCTGAGATCCTAAAAACAATACCGTCAATAATATTTTCAAGATAGACTTTTGATAGATAAATATTCCTCAAGATATTAAAACAAAAATACTGCAGTCTTTGTTAGTCTTCAGAAATCATTATATTATGCTGATTTGCTGCTCAAGAAACATTGTTGAAAACACTTGTGCCACTGTTCCTCCATCATTGAGTTTAAAGGTCACTTAAAAACGTACTTTTTTGCATTAGCATTTGACTGTCCATGAGTATGTGTTGATGTAATAGGTTTTTGGAAATAGGTCATGGAAATGCGTAAAATTTGTCCATGGTGTGTCCATAATTTGTCCATAACCTGATTGTCGAGGAGTACGTATTGGTGTAATTGGTTTTTATTGAGAGGTTGAGATGTCCATAGAAAGGCGTGGAATTTAACTGTGATTCACTGATTTTTATCCTCTGTACAGCATGTTATGTACAGTTTATTTTATTTTATCTTATGTACAGCACTTTGGTCAACTCCTGTTGTATTATTATGTGCTTTATAAATAAATTGAACCTTGAACCACTATATATATATATATATATATAATTTCAAGGACAATTTTGGCACTTGTCCAATGTCAAATCTTGATCCTGAAGCTAAACCAGTTGAGAACCACTAATCCACAAATTGTTGTGTTATCATAAAGATCACCCAAGGGTTATTAGTGGGGTCTTCATAAAGGGAGGGGAGAAATAGGAACAAGTTGTAGAGGGATACCTTCTGATATTCATCCTTGGAGCGCTCTGCCTCGGAGAGTTGTTCCTGTGTGTATGCGTAGATCGCTGATCGATAGGTCGTTCCAACATCGTTGCCCTGGCGCATTCCTATCATAGAAAAGGCAGCGATATGTCAGTGCTAAAAACAAGGGGACAGAGGATCTGTTCACAACACAAATGTACAATGTAAATTACATTTTTTGGGTGAATTACTCCTTTATGTAGCATGTGATTACAGTTTATAAAGTTATAAATATGGATACATTTCTTACAAACATGAATCGCGTAGCTTCAGGAGGCCTTCATTAACCCCTGGAGCAGTATGGATACATTTTATGATGGATGAATGCGCTTTTTTTGGCCCTTCACTCTCATTATAATGCTTGGAAGAGCCAGGATATGTTTTATATAACTCCGATTGTGTTTAGCTGAAAGAAAAAAAGTCATAAACACCTAGGATGGCTTGCGGGTGAGTAAATTATGGGATAATTTTCATTTTGAGTGAGCTAACCCTTTAAATGTAGACACATGAGAACTAAAGTAAGTCATGTATCCCTGATGTAATCATGCAGTGCAGCCACTCAGTACATCTTCTGTGGGTCCAAATTTAGCATCTATTAGTACTCTAGTCTCTCGAGAAACAAACTCCCAATCAACCAGATATGAAATCTTGGAAATAGTGCAATTTTTAATTAAAGCTCTGTTCTATCTGTTCTTGATCCAGATATGACTTCATAGATTTATAGCTGATTCTACAGCTGCGTCCTGAACAGATATTTTTGTTGGACGGGAAGAGTGCATTAACCATGCTGAAGAAACTGTGCTGTGAGTCTGTTATAGCTGTAACCCATTTTTTTTAATTACTTAAGAGTTTTTTATAAGATTTAGCAAGATTTTTATGTTCTTTAAAACAGAAGTTAAGAAAAACCATGATTTCACTGCGACCATTTACAAGTATGAGAACCAGATGAGTGTTAGTGATCAGCACAGACACAATCAGTACATTATACAGGCCATCTCGATGAGTCTGAACGTGATTGGATGGTCGAGACACTTTAATCTCTGATCTGAATTATCTAGATCATGATTGCAGCCACTCAAACTGTTCCCTCTCTTCTTTGTGAATTCATGAGCCTCTCGTACCTCACACGGCACTGGAACTTAAGACTGTATTAAGTTAAAGAACTGTTCTTTTTGCAGGTTTTTAAATGGTATTAAGTTCTTAGCCTTTCTTAAATTAACACTGCGCTAAACAAAAATGACTGTGTACTGGGTTTCAACTAATAATTGCCCTGTCTCAAATGTCACACTTCATGTGCACTTGTGGTATTGTGGACTTACAATGGCTGCCGCGTTCGCTTCCCAGTAAAAGGGTTAGTTCACCCAAAAATGAAAATGAAGTCATTAATTACTCACCCCCATGCTGTACCAACCCCGTAAGACCTTCGTTCGTCTTCGGAACACAAATGAAGAAATTTTTGATTAAATTTGAGAGCTGTATAACTACCACATAGGCTCCTAAGGGACTGCCTCTTGACGGCCCAAAAAGTCAATGAAGAAAATGTTTAAATATCCCAAGTGACTACCGTGGCTCAACTATATGTTTATCAAGCGACGCGAATACTTTTTGTGCGAAAAAACAAACAAAAATAACGAGTTTATTCGACTATTTCTTTTCTTCCTTGTAGGCCAGAACGAAAATTCCTTAGATTTCCACGACGCATGCGCGAGATTTGCGATCTGCTCACACCAGCCTTCACTACTTCAGATCGCAATTCTCGCGCATGCGTCGTGGAAATCTATAAGGAAGTCTCGTTCTGGCCTACAAGGAAGAAAATAAATAGTCGAATAAACTCGTTATTTTTGTTTGTTTTTTCGCACAAAAAGTATTCGCGTCGCTTGATAAACATATAGTTGAGCCACGGTAGTCACTTGGGATATTTAAACATTTTCTTCATTGACTTTTTGGGCCGTCAAGAGGCAGTCCCTTAGGAGCCTATGTGGTAGTTATACAGCTCTCAAATTTAATCAAAAATTTCTTCATTTGTGTTCCGAAGACGAACGAAGGTCTTACGGGGTTGGTACAGCATGGGGGTGAGTAATTAATGACTTAATTTTCATTTTTGGGTGAACTAACCCTTTAACCCCTAGTTCCTCCAGAGGCGTGCGACCTCTGACATATATAGCAATTGTAAGTCGCTTTGGATAAAAGCGTCAGCTAAATGAATAAATGTAAGTTTCTTTGTGGCTGAAAAACTCATGCCTCACCTTAAATCTAGATAAGACTGTTTCAATGTTTTTTTACAAATCGTTATCCACAAGTTTCCGAGGGGCGCTCCTGTAAAAAATAAAGTGGGTGAAACTTCCGGTGAGGCGGCGGAAGTAGCATTCCAATGGTATTTTGTGTGTTAGCGAAGAGGCTAGCTGTTTTTCGGAGAATTATTTTACTATTTAAAGACGCAAATCTTTATGAGAGATGTCGTTACGGAGCTCAGGGACAACATGTGCTGCTCGCGGTTGTATGTATAACCGGACTAAACTAGTTCAGTGGCTTAAACGTGATTGTTTTGAACATAAGCTGAAAACGAAATCAGAGTGATCCTGCCAACGACTGTAGTTTCCATCACCTCCCAAAAGACGACGAATCTTCCTGTGTACATTTGTTTAAATTCTTAATATTCTATAAACTCTATCAGCATGTGATTGGCTGTTCTCTACTGATGTTACACCTAAACTCAGGATCAAAGCCTGTGTTGACAGAATACCAAATGTGCCAGTTAATGTATTCAATCAGCACATTCATTTATAATTTTGAATAAACTCCAAAGCACAATGACTAAGTGTGTATTTTTTATTTTAATTGTTTGTCAGCTCGCACAACTGTCTGTCACCATGCCTTGATGAGTATTGATTATTAATAATGTTATTATAATACTCCCAATCAACGACTGCGGAGGGTAAAGGTACTGTTATTTCACCCTTTTGAATTTCGTTGAGGTTGTGTTCCCACATCGTTAGCTAGTTTGGATCGCTATAACTTGAATGACTGTCAACTGTTGAATGAACGAGTGTCAAGCATGTCAAATCGCCCTTTGTTTACTTCCAACCGGAAGTCGCGCCCACTTTTGACGCAAGGCCTCATGGGGCGTAGGAAACTTGTGGATAAAATACAAAATTGTCCAAAGATCTTAATTGATGGACAAATCATTTCAAATCATGTCGGTTACCTGATCAAAACATTTAGGTATTCATATTGGAATCAAATTCAGGCTGGAATCAAATTATGCCTTTAAAATAAGCATTTTGATTATGAGCAGTGAGGACCTGTTCATGTGCGAGTGTGTCAGTAGACATCAGTGTCCAGTGAGATCCATCCTTCCTCAAGAATTAGTTGCTGAGATACCAAATGTACCATATCACGGGAAAAGATATTGGATATTGTGTTCAGAATTTGTTGAAAATGGAGTGCTCAGCAAGAGCGAAGAGTGACTACGCTGTTCATTTGGGCTCTTTTGATGTGGAAAAGAGAGACTGCAGAAACCTTTGGTATCAGCACAAAGGCAGCTGAGATCTGATGTGATGTGTGAAGAGAGCAAGAGAGAACACTGGGATGATGAGACAGTCAAGGTTATCTCGTCAATAGTCATGACACCATCCGTAATGTGTCCGAGCGTGAATACTGGCTCGCTGCTAATTTCATTTCAGACAGTAAACTGATCTAAGGGAATGAGAAGGAAAACGGGCCAAAAAACAAAGTATGATCATACACACGGGGAAGGGGGAGGGAGAAGGGTTTTGAAGGAAGAAAATGAGACTACAGGGGTACGGTAGGGAAGATTAGAGCTTGCAAGAACCACAGTCAGTTCCTCTGCTTCTATTGTTCCAACAAGCTCCGCTTCGACGGAAAGGGTGGGGTTGTTAGCATGAACCACATGCAGGTTTGTAATGCATTGCACCACCGAGAGCAAGAAACCTCAATTTTCGGCTCGGCGACAGAGCCGTTCTGCAATTAGAGAAAAATATATGCATAATGCAGATGGCAGCATTCGCACTCAGCGCCGAAAGGCTTTGAACCTCCTCATGCACGGATTTGAAGTCTCCTTTCTCCAAGCTGTCTAACAATACAAAGAGAATTACTATTTCATGTATTATACTTCCCTGCTTTGCAGAAAACCCGTTTCATCTGCTACGGATTCACAGGTTATCAAACAGTGCAAGAATTGTTGAGGGATGTAATCCTAAACACCTGTCCCTCCTTACCATCCACTCGGGGACCAGGGATGTTAACATTCCATTAGATGCGGGTAACATCGATATGAGCAGCTTTTGTTTTTTATAGCAGGTCTGCTCTGATAGGGTCGTGGACAGAAGGAAAATACTAAGCCTGTTGCCTAAAAATGTTGTGTGAAAGTGAAGAAATGAACACTATCACATATTAATACTCCAATCCTCAAGAACAAAAACAAAAAAATATTTATATATGTATATAGAATACATATATTATATTCATAGCTACATATTCTACATAGCTTTATATTCTATATATATATATGTGTGTGTGTGTGTGTGTGTTGTATATTATATGTCTAACAAATATATTATAAATAACATTACAAATAATCAATTAATACGGTAAAACATAGAATTAATAGAGATGTATTTATTATTAAATCGAAGAGTGCTGAGATCCTAAAAACAATACCGTCAATAATATTTTCAAGATAGACTTTTGATAGATAAATATTCCTCAAGATATTAAAACAAAAATACTGCAGTCTTTGTTAGTCTTCAGAAATCATTATATTATGCTGATTTGCTGCTCAAGAAACATTGTTGAAAACACTTGTGCCACTGTTCCTCCATCATTGAGTTTAAAGGTCACTTAAAAACGTACTTTTTTGCATTAGCATTTGACTGTCCATGAGTATGTGTTGATGTAATAGGTTTTTGGAAATAGGTCATGGAAATGCGTAAAATTTGTCCATGGTGTGTCCATAATTTGTCCATAACCTGATTGTCGAGGAGTACGTATTGGTGTAATTGGTTTTTATTGAGAGGTTGAGATGTCCATAGAAAGGCGTGGAATTTAACTGTGATTCACTGATTTTTATCCTCTGTACAGCATGTTATGTACAGTTTATTTTATTTTATCTTATGTACAGCACTTTGGTCAACTCCTGTTGTATTATTATGTGCTTTATAAATAAATTGAACCTTGAACCACTATATATATATATATATATATATATATAATTTCAAGGACAATTTTGGCACTTGTCCAATGTCAAATCTTGATCCTGAAGCTAAACCAGTTGAGAACCACTAATCCACAAATTGTTGTGTTATCATAAAGATCACCCAAGGGTTATTAGTGGGGTCTTCATAAAGGGAGGGGAGAAATAGGAACAAGTTGTAGAGGGATACCTTCTGATATTCATCCTTGGAGCGCTCTGCCTCGGAGAGTTGTTCCTGTGTGTATGCGTAGATCGCTGATCGATAGGTCGTTCCAACATCGTTGCCCTGGCGCATTCCTATCATAGAAAAGGCAGCGATATGTCAGTGCTAAAAACAAGGGGACAGAGGATCTGTTCACAACACAAATGTACAATGTAAATTACATTTTTTGGGTGAATTACTCCTTTATGTAGCATGTGATTACAGTTTATAAAGTTATAAATATGGATACATTTCTTACAAACATGAATCGCGTAGCTTCAGGAGGCCTTCATTAACCCCTGGAGCAGTATGGATACATTTTATGATGGATGAATGCGCTTTTTTTGGCCCTTCACTCTCATTATAATGCTTGGAAGAGCCAGGATATGTTTTATATAACTCCGATTGTGTTTAGCTGAAAGAAAAAAAGTCATAAACACCTAGGATGGCTTGCGGGTGAGTAAATTATGGGATAATTTTCATTTTGAGTGAGCTAACCCTTTAAATGTAGACACATGAGAACTAAAGTAAGTCATGTATCCCTGATGTAATCATGCAGTGCAGCCACTCAGTACATCTTCTGTGGGTCCAAATTTAGCATCTATTAGTACTCTAGTCTCTCGAGAAACAAACTCCCAATCAACCAGATATGAAATCTTGGAAATAGTGCAATTTTTAATTAAAGCTCTGTTCTATCTGTTCTTGATCCAGATATGACTTCATAGATTTATAGCTGATTCTACAGCTGCGTCCTGAACAGATATTTTTGTTGGACGGGAAGAGTGCATTAACCATGCTGAAGAAACTGTGCTGTGAGTCTGTTATAGCTGTAACCCATTTTTTTTAATTACTTAAGAGTTTTTTATAAGATTTAGCAAGATTTTTATGTTCTTTAAAACAGAAGTTAAGAAAAACCATGATTTCACTGCGACCATTTACAAGTATGAGAACCAGATGAGTGTTAGTGATCAGCACAGACACAATCAGTACATTATACAGGCCATCTCGATGAGTCTGAACGTGATTGGATGGTCGAGACACTTTAATCTCTGATCTGAATTATCTAGATCATGATTGCAGCCACTCAAACTGTTCCCTCTCTTCTTTGTGAATTCATGAGCCTCTCGTACCTCACACGGCACTGGAACTTAAGACTGTATTAAGTTAAAGAACTGTTCTTTTTGCAGGTTTTTAAATGGTATTAAGTTCTTAGCCTTTCTTAAATTAACACTGCGCTAAACAAAAATGACTGTGTACTGGGTTTCAACTAATAATTGCCCTGTCTCAAATGTCACACTTCATGTGCACTTGTGGTATTGTGGACTTACAATGGCTGCCGCGTTCGCTTCCCAGTAAAAGGGTTAGTTCACCCAAAAATGAAAATGAAGTCATTAATTACTCACCCCCATGCTGTACCAACCCCGTAAGACCTTCGTTCGTCTTCGGAACACAAATGAAGATATTTTCTACATAGGCTCATAAGGGATCGAAACTTGACGGCCCAGAAAGTCATTGAAGAAAATGTTTAAATATTCCATGTGACTACAGTGGCTCAACTATAAGTTTATCAAGCAACGAGAATACGTTTTGTGCGGAAATTAAAAAAAAAAAAAAAAACGACTTTATTTGACTATTTCTTTTCTTCCTTGTGGGCCTGAGACAAGAGTTCAAGAGATTTCCATGACGCATGTGCCAGAACTGAACCAGAAGTCTCTTGATATTATTTTGTGACAGAATGAAATGTTACCTTGTGTGGGATTGTGGCTTTCCCAGAATACCTTGAGCAACTGTGCAAAGTTGATTTTCTCAGGCTCATAGACCACACGAACCACCTCAGTGTGCCCTGTTTTACCTGCGTGAGGAAGAAGAGCAGAGGTGCGTAAACACCATTGCCGAAGTCACGGTACACACACATACACACTCAGGTTAAACAGAGATGGTCCCATTCCAGTGAGGTCATCAAGGGTCACTGATCTTGGCTTGACTGGCCGCGTCTCCAGCGGTAGGTTCAGGCCTCCATATTGATTAACTTTATGTGTCTTTTGACCGTGTCATAAAAGTACAAGGGCAGTCGATCTACCTGTGCTCATTGCATCAGCTGGGTGCTTTTCAATAAGCTGAAAAAGAAATGCAACCTGAAGGAGAAAGCCATAAAGAAAGAAAGAAAGAAAGAGAGTGTCCCAGAAGGACTCGTAAAAACAAGACATTTCTTTGAAATTACTCTTTGCGGGTAAGCAAGCTTGGAGGAGAAGCATCAAACAAACACAAGCACAATACATTACATACTCAACCTGATGATTATGCTCTCTTTAAGGCTGCTTTTAAACAACAGCACAGCCATTTGTAACATTCGAAAGGGAAGACGTCTTTAAAACAACTAGTGAGCAAAACTGCAAAGTGTTTTTGTTGTTGGTATTATCCTAAAGAAGCCATCAAAGTTTTATAAAAGTATTAAGACAATTACTTTCAAATTCAATAAGGTGAAAACACAATGGGGGGGCACTGCACCAGCTGATTGTGTTTATTTCCACTCGCTGTCTGCATTGTTTCACACTCTAATTCACACACACACAAAAAAATACTAAAAGGCAATAGCACACAAACACAAAATCTGTGTGAAACAATTTGCATGTCACAAGTGTTTGGTTCTTAGTGTCAGGTTATGTGTTTGCACTAAAAAATGTACAATGATTTGATATGAATACAGTTCAGTACTACTTTTGCACATTTAGTGCTTTGTTTGTTATATATATATATATATATATATATATATATATATACTGTATTTATATTCAGAACCTGAATTTATGAAAAACCTGAATATATATAAAAACCTGAATATATATATATATATATATATATATATATATACAGTATATATATTCTTACTGAACGATTCTTTTAAATTAATGAAATTCATGTGGTTTTTCTATGTGTGTATCTGTGTTTACATTCATTTCAGTGCATAAATAAACGTCCAAAAACAGGATTCAAAGTATTGTCTAGCTATTTTTATGACTATGTCTATATACTATGTTCGCACTATGAGCAACATGTTGCAAATTAATCAGAGAACATGAAACCACTGTGACTAGAACCCCAAAACTGAAAAACCATGGCCCTAATTCCATATCTCCCATCATTAATTTATTACCAAAGAAGTCTGCTTAATAATCTCTGGTTCAGTCTTATGGGGGGCCTTCCTCTACGTTATCTCCAGTAAATCTATATTGCTTTGATATTAAAAAAGTAATAAAGGACTAACCTGTGGGGTTATTTTCATTACCAGGCAAGACGACGGAGGGGTAGTAACATTATCAGAGCTGAGATATGGAAAACCAAAGCCGTGCCATTGGCCATACACCCAGGGCCGTCGCTTCAATTCACGTCTATACAATCAGCATTGTAATAATACATTTAGCGAGTCGGCGAGTCGCAATGTTCCCAGTTGTCCCTCTCTGATGACGGCCCTGCATATACCCTAAATTAAACAAAGGACCAAGTTGAAAGGTATTAAAACACTTTTGTTGTCTGGGAACTGCATTAACTTCAAAGAACAATGCCATGGATTCGCTCACGTCATGGTTATTATCGTTTACTAAACTAAAACTATGAAAAACATTTAAGCTGAAATAAAATAAAATATTAGTTGAAAAACTTAAACTAAATGCAAATTAGAATCATAGAATAATTAGCTTTTTAATAAAATTGCACCATCGGTGCTCAGTCTCAAACTAAAACTAAAACTGAACTAATTATAAATTAAACTTAAATAGGAATAAATAGAACAAATAATGACAAAAGCACATAACAAAATGACTAAAAATGTAACAAAAATTAACATAAAAGATCAAACAAAAAAAAAAAGCTAATTCAAAATATTACTATATATAAATTAAAGTAAAAAAACTAAAACAACACTGGCTTACACACTCAACATAAAATCAAATATTGCTTTTATTTTAACTTGAAATATAAAGAATGAATAGAAAAGAAACTTAAAAAGTATTTTGCTTGTTTTTTACACACTAATTATTGTTGTTTTGTTTTTGTCTTTCCTTTTTCCTTCATTCACAGTATTCATACACAAAATAAGCCAGTCTCGAACTAAAAAAATTATCTATCTATATATATATATATATATGTGTGTGTGTGTGTGTGTGTGTGTGTATACATAATGCATTATACATAAAGAATTTAAGTAAATTAAATTAAATTAAATTAAATTAAATTAAATTAAATTAAATTAAATTAAATTAAATTAAATTAAATTAAATTAAATTAAATTAAATTAAATTAAATTAAATTAAATTAAATTAAAGGGCAAACAAACTTTTATCTTCCCACCAAAGTCAAATTTTACAGTACTTTTATTAGGTGCTTGTTCATTTGGATACTGCAGTTTCATCTTCTCTGGCTATCCATCTATAATCTTTTTTTAGATAGAGAAATACACAGCAGTATAAAATGACTGCCACAGCAAAAGAAAGCTACATTTCAGCACTCGTTGTAACCTTTTGACAGTATGTTATGCAAATGTTCGTAGATTCAGCGATAAGACAATGGCGTTCTAATGGAGGCATAAGAGCCGGCAGCATTATCCTCCAACTGTGTTATGCATGTTGGTTTATGGAAGAGTAATGAACCCATTGAACCTGCTCCTATACTTCCCACTTCTCTCTTTACATTCATCCCTCCCTCCCTCTCAGCTTCTATTCCTCTCCCTCTGCTCAGCTTTCTTCCCTTCTTCATTTCCTCTTTGAAGCGTCTTGCCTATTTTTCTTCCCATCTCCCAGCTCCAATCCTTTTTCACAACCCCCATTTTTTTTTTGGTGAAATCCCCTCACCCACCCCCTCTTCGGGCTGTGTCATTCTAGACACAGTGAAGGTCAACCACAGGCGGCCATATTTGCTGCTGCTTGAGAATAGCATACATTCTAAGCAAAGCTGTGATGCAAGTACGTGTCAAGGGAAGTGCCTTCTACAGACTATCAATACAAGTGGGAGCAGTCAAAACTACAATCCACTGAAATTCAGAAATAATGGTTATGTGTGATACTGAAAGGCACAAGCACACAATCTATGGGCTACCGGCTGCTTCAGTTTTAGGGGTCATTCTATGAAACTGGTGCCTTTGAAACAATCAAATAAATAATTTGTTTAACTGATAATAAATAGGCACTATATATATATATATATATATATATATCAGTTCAAAGAATTCTGAAAAGATTTTTTTAAACTGATAATAAATAGGCACTATATATATATATATATATATATATATATATACATACAGTTCAAAGAATTCTGAAAAGATTTTTTTTTAAAATGCAAATCAGCATATTAGAATGATTTCTGTGGGATCATATGACACTGAAGACTGGATAACCTGGTAACGATTGCTGAAAGCTTTGACATCACAGGAATATATATACATACACACACACACACACACACACATATATATACTGTATATATATAAACTGCAAGAAAAACTGCAAGCTGACATCATCTATAGAGTTTATTTTTTACACATCTTTTTGTGAAGGGGAAAAATATCACCCGCTTTGTAGAATGACCCATAAGATGCTATTTTCTATGATTGTTTGCATTGGTGGCTTTATCTTTAGTGCATGTTTCTGCTTAGCGGACATGTCTGTACCCTTTAATCCCCTGTTGACACAAGGTCTTGTGCAGACGGGACTGAGATTAACACGGAAAGAGAGAGAGTGCGTAGACAAAGCGAGAGAGCATTTAAGGATCATGGCACATCCCCTCCCCCTCAGGTGCATAAGTTAAATCCTGTGTATGATTCTATCGTACTGCTACAAAGCCTAGCAGCCTGCCTATATTTTTAGACATCAAGGCAGACTCCCGAATGTACTGGGAGGAAAAAAAAAATCCCAGAATGCACTTTGACAAGCTTTGTAAAAAAAAAAAGAGAAAAAACTCAAGATGGTGGATAAAGTAAAAGGACTAGATTAGAGATATACATATAATTCATTCATTGTTAAATAAACATGCTGTGTTTAATATAATGTTTTGATATAACAGTTATCAATTTTTATAGATTTTAAAATAATTAATTTGCTGAAAATTAAGCTTCGCCATTAAATTACAGTCTTCATTGAACCTGTTCCTACTATAGACTATAATTCTGAGCCCTATTTGTATGGTACTCGGCTTATGTAGTGCATTTAGTCACTTATGAGGTTTCATTTAGTTAAGATGCTGCCTTAGAAGGTAGCTGCCTATATATTAGGCACTGAGGCAGCTCACTAGGTTTTGAAAAAGATTTTTTTTTAAGAAATGAAGCTATGCATTCGCAAGTCATATCGAAGAGCACAACATAAACACCAGCCTTATCTTCCCATTTCTTCTGAAATCCTGTTACTTGTTTCAAAAGGATGTCAGCATTCAACCCCTGTGGAGGAGCACAGAGTGTTGCCAACCATTTCAGCACCAGCATGTGTTTCAGCACCAGCCAATGGACAGCTCCCTGTTTTCAGCACCCCACGCTGAAATATACCCGTTGTAGTGATGGACCACCTGCTGAATCATCACACCCGGCTTTAAACAGCTTTGATTCTCAAAATGTACAGTTTCTAAGAAAAAGAGGGAATTTAAATATAAATGCCCTGCAGTGAGATGCATGTTTGTGTCTTAACTTCACAGTAAGAAATAGCTGTGCATACTCTGTGAGAGACCATTAAAGCAAATTCACTCGATAGGAAATCACAGGGAAAGCTCGGGAGATCAAAGCCCAGGCCCGTCATGCTTTTCTAGGCTCGGAAAAACTACCAGAGTAAGTTTGAGCTGAGAAAATCATCAGCTAAACACATCTGTACTCAGAATGTAAAATTAATTTCATTCAATTTATTTTTCAAAAACAACAATTTGTGCATTTTTTATTTATTTATTTATTTAAAATTAATTTATTTAATTTCATTAATTTAATTAATTTTTTTTATTCATTTAAAAATGTAATGGTAACAATCTTGTGTGTTTATTTGAAAAATGTGTGTTCTTTGTTTGCTCTACTGTTTAAATGTTTGTATAATAAATAAACCTAAATACTTTAGAAATGAAAAGTACTTCACCTTGTTTTATTTTTCTTTTATTTGCTAAAATTATGTCTTTGGTAAACTATTTTGATAGCTAAATATACAAAGTAGTAAACAAAACACACTTTTAGATGAATTTCCCCCATTGATTGATATTAAAAACAACTCAAAGGCGCAATTAAACTTTAAATAAAGTGTTGCTGAATAATTTTTCTCATGTTATGTTTTACTTCATCAATCAGTTTATTCTATTCCATATATCCAAGATGTCCACGTCTTGCTTTCTTCAGTCGAAAAGAAATTAAGGTTTTTGATGAAAACATTCCAGGATTTTCTCCATATAATGGACTTCAATGGGAACCAAACGGTTCAAGGTCCAAATGAGAGTTTCAGCGCAGCTTCAAAGGGATTTAAACGACACCAGACAATGAATAAGGGTCTAAAATCCCTTAATTTCTTTTCGACTTAAGAAAGAAAGACGTGGACATCTTGGATGACATGGGGGTGAGTAAATTATCAGCAAAAGTTTTTTTTTTTTTTAAAGTGAACTACTCCTTTAATGCATTCTTGTTGAGTGACAGTGTATAAAAATAAAATAGGATTGCTGCATTCCTATTCTGTTTTCCCGTCTTGTTTTTTTTTTTATGGAAAAGCCTACTATTCTAATTCTAAATCCCAAATCCTGTAGGATAAGGAAGGGGAGGCTTGGACCTAAATACTACTACTAATAATAATAATAGACCAACAGCTGGCACAGCTAATGCAAACCCAGCCATGTCAAAAACACCCATCTTGATTACTGCATTCAAGCAGAAGCTTCATGGTGATTTTTGGACGGGCAAAGCTCGACAGTATGAGCATGTGTTGTTTTGTATTGGTATATTAGCCAGTTACTGGATAATTGCTATATGAGCAAGTGTTATCCTATTAAGTATAAGCATATATGAATGCCATCTGGATGCTTACAGATGTTACGAAAAAGAACAAGACTATAATTACAGTACAAACTCTTCTATTAGTGCATTTCTCAAAGATGCCATTCAACACCAATACAGTTCATGTATAATTCGTGATCCTCAATTTGTGCACACATTCTTTATGTGGCTGGAGCTCCACAGACAATTGTGGTGTGACTGACAGCTTGGAAACGGTAATCAGAGACATACCTGTGCACACCTCCTCATAGGTCGCGTTTGGGGTGTAACCACCAGAATAGCCCACTTGAGTGGAATAGACCCCCTTTTGCTTCCAGAATTTCCTCTCCGCACCCCAGAAACAGCCCATACCTGTGTTAAAAACATAAAAGAAAAAATAAATATTCCCAATAGAATATTTCAGCCATAGACTGATCCAAATCATCATATTTCTATTATTGCCAGAAATTCAAAAGATAGTATTGAGCATTTAATTCCATTCAAAGTATACATTCAACAAACTATACACATACATTTCATGCATTCCATGGAAAACCAAACCCATGACTTTGGGTTTCTAGCACCATCAATTGTTCAAAAAAACACCAAGGAACAGAAAAGTAGCCCAAATGACTACCCTTTCCTCAATAAAGCTATCATACAGCTTCAAAAGACATGGAATTTAGTGCATATGGAGTCATATGGACTGCTTTTATGATACTTTTAGGAAAACCTACTTTAAAGAAAATTTCCAAACATATAAAGCATACAGGTTTGAAGAGACATAAGAGTGACTAAATAATGACACAATTTTAATTAGGGGGTGAACTATCCCATTCAAATTAGATAGACACTAAGATTCTGCAGTGTATATTACCATTCAAAAGTTTTTTAGATCAAATACTTTGGTGTGCATAAGAGGCTTCTTTCAAAAACATAAAAACAAAAAGTCGTTTCCCTCACCAAATTCTCTTTGCCGTGTGTTTTTGTTGTTCTGCAGGGAACGAGCCTCCTCTAGCACCTTCCCACTGGTGTTAAATCAGGTCCTATTTTTTCTATTCAAAGCTCTATATTTTAGCTACGAATTTACAATCCCATAAAACTAAAGACTCCTCCATCACGCATTTACTCAGGGCCAATAAAAACATATCAACCACCATAAAACATGAAACACCCGCTGTAAGCATTTATTACCAAATAATACTATAACAGTAAAAATAAATTAGAGGGTAACTAGTATATCGTTATCTACTGCAACATCCCACGGGTGGAAAGTAATTCAATTGTTGAAAAAAAAAAAAAAAAAAAACGCACACGACTGTCAGCTTGACCAGATTTCTCTGATTTGCAAGCTGCTGTAGAGAAGCGAGCATAAGGCGTATGATAGAGAATCTAGAATCTGGAGCTCAATTACGCCGGCCCAGAGGGACACCCGAACGCCAAGACTATAAGATGATGCTTTCACATGGGGGACGTCAATGTTCGGTAAATGAGGGTGAGCGCTGTGCTGCGTCTAGCAGGAAGAATGGCACATTTTCACAGAGTCAAAGGTACCCGAGTTACCCTTCATCGCTCTCGACGGGGGGTTTGTGATTTGCAAAGCCGCATACATACTTTGAATATTATTTTATTTGTATTCAGGACCCTGTGATAAAACAGCCATTTAATTCCTGTCTGCCATGATGGATTACACAGTTTGAGGCCTAAATAAAGAAAAAAAGGAGGCTGAACAAATGCATTTATTAAAGAGATCCTAATCAGCAGTCTGCAATTAATCGGCACACCCCTCCCCTATATTTTCCTCATCCTTTTGCAGTTTTGGTTTTGCACTTCTTCAAGGGGATGAGGGGGTGAATGAGGGGACTAATTACCTTCCACCGCCGGTCGTCTACCCCCATGCCGCGATCACACGCGCACACACACACATCTCACAGCTCGGATCACTTACCGAATAAGACCATCTGCAATCCCTCTGGGAACGGTGGCACTGTCCTGTTACCATTCACGTCGTGCTTAGCTGCAGGACACAGGGGAAACAATGGAGAGAATGCCCTTATAAATCAACACAATGTCAACAGGACTTCATAATGTGTTCTTCCCGACGCAAAAGCACCACAACTCACTGTATGGAAGAAACTCCCAGGAGGATAGCGGCTCTATTCCTATGCAGCTCATTAAGTGCAACCCATAAGTTTTGGCTTTATTCCTTTATCTTTTACTTTAGGAGCACCGGGAAGATGGGAAAGGACATAGTGAAGGTTAAAGAAGGGGAGGTGAAACAATGTTTTAACATGTGACAGGCATACAGATGGGCCAAGGCATGGAAAACCGTTGCGTGGATTAGAATAAATAGAGGTTACTGAGTTCAACATCTGGGCGCAGCCATGCCGGAGCTTCTACATGCACGTACTGTATGAGTATGTTGCCATGGCAGCAGGGCATGCCAATACAGCCATGACTGATGGCGGACCTATACACTGCATGCAGTTCACTGTAACTCACTCACGGCCACACTAAAACTAGGGGAAAGCTTAAAATGTCAAGTTAATTATGCTCCGAATAAATAAATAGATAAATTAATGAATAAATGTTCAGTCCATAATTAAAAAAAAAAAGTTAAACAAATGAATAAATGTAATGTTTCATGGGTTGAACATTTATTTAAAAAAAATAAATAAAATAAAAGTCCCTTGGAGATTTGTTATCGGTTTAATAAATAGATGGAAAAAAAAAACATCAATGGCTATTATAATTGCTAAATAATTTAATGTTCAGTCCATTTTTGTCCTTTCATTTCAAAGTCATATCTTTAAAATGTTTTAGCATGTAAGGCCAGTGGTGTGTTTCACAAGGGGCTTGCTGAAATCTGGATGTGTTAAATGATGTTAAAACAAATATATGCCAATTGGTGGTGAAACAGAGTGCAAATCTTCTTTTGGCACAGTAAACCTTTCCATTTTAGGATTAAAATGGCACTCGAACAATGCAGTGAAAAGAAAGGCTTTCTGTGGAAGCCACAGTTCTAATCTAATCTGTGTAAGTGGACTGAAGAGAAGCATTAGAACAGACTTCATTAAATCACTTTTACATTCAGACTCTCTGTGCTGATCTGTTTCAACCGCTCAACACTCTCTTACAGCGTACAGTACATTGAGCAAAAATTCCATGTCGTCTATTCATTCAATATCAATCAATATAAAAAGAGAGAACACCGGCTAGAAGAATAAGAATTGTTTCACACTATAATCAAATGTCTATTACAATTCACTCACACTCGTGGCATTTCAAAAACTTTCTTTATTTTGTAACTTTTATTTTTTTGTAGAAAAATATCCTGGTTGCTCTTTTCAAAATAATGACAATGAATCAGAAAGGACACAAAAACACCATAAAAGTGGTCCATGTAACTCTTGCACTATATCTATAGGCTGACTAAATGAGAAGCAAAATCAGTCCAATTCATCCAAATCATTTAAGCCGGTGTTGTGATGCATTGAAAAGTAGTATGGACCACTTGTATAGTGCTTTCTTTGTCATTTTGGAGCTTGACAGCCTTCTACACAGACAGAATATTCTTTAAAAATTCATCTTATGTCTTCCATGGAAAAGAATGAATAAAAAAATGAGCTTTAAATCAACAACCCATGTTTCCACTGCACACTAAAAACAGCAAGTTATACAATAAATCTGCTAAACGGACTATTACCTCTCAAGTACTATTTTATTTTCACTTTTTACATAACTATTTAACTTTTTTATATTTAATATCTTATCTTATCTTATAATATTACATTTTTCAAATAATATTACATTTTGCCAGTCAAATCAAATAATGTATGAAAAAGGATTGAAAAGAAAAAATGTGGCTGATACTGCTTTCGGTTCTTTTGTCACACTTGAAACTGACATGTCACACACACTGCATTACAAAACTACAGTAATCCATGCGGTGTCATCTAGGTGTTCTTTACTTAAAGGTAATCTGGAAACTGCACACATACTACAGGCTTTCAAAATCACTTAAAAGCAGGCCATTCAGATCACCCACCATATGTTGCTCAGGCCTGGTCTGCAGTGTGAGGCATAGAGTGGAAGTCTTATTGATCTGCAGTGCGTCATTTTGAAAAGTAGCTTGCCTTACTATAAGAACTGGCAAGAGCTGAGGGGTTGGTCAGTGGCTGTGGAGTGACCAGGGTAGGGTTGCGCCACAACACAAGCCATTCGGAAATTGGAAAAAGGTACAGGTATAAAAGGTACAAGCCTGTGTACTGGACGGCTTTGCTGGGGGAAAGAGCTACAATCCCATGAAGCGTTGTGAAAAGGTGAATAGAATAAAAAAAAAAATGGAGAAATATAAAAATGCTCATTTAAAAAATCCCTTAAAGCATTGTGAACAGAAGTTCTGTCATGACAACTCTCAGAATGCTTGGCATGGTAATGGGTATAACAATATTGATATATTTGGTCATGGCTGAATAGATCTGCTACGCTGCTGCCACTGTAATGCTGTACAATATAGCGCACATGAATTCCCCGTAGCAGATCTACAGTATACAGGTGGAGCTGGGGAAGGGGGAGGGTTTCTGAAAGCGCGCAAATGCCAACCAAGTATTTGAAGGTTGAGCATGTGAGCACATTGTCTACTGATACAGCAGGAACCAATCAGCTGTGGCTAATAGAGAATGATGTGATCGCAAGCAGGTTGAGTTTGAGTTGAGGTTGAGTTAAGATCAGCCTGCGCAAATGTCCATACTTGTAACTTAAGTGTCCATTTATGTCAAAACTAGACTAGTTGTAACTTACAGCCTCGCTGAGCTACAGAGCTCTCTATTACCCTCTCATCCCGCTCCTGCTCTCTAATGGCCAGCACTCACCTTAGCTGTATTTTATATAGTGTAAGCTTACATCTCAACCCATACCATCATGTTGAATCCAAAGCACTCAGCTCTCTGTGTGACCTCAGAGCACAGATGCTGAGATTGACAGATGCTTGGAGGCAGATAGTATTAAAAAAAAATGGCTATGAACTTACATGACCTTTCCTGTCATATGCAATTACTTGATTTATATTTATTTTTAAATAATTCAAATTCAAACTGATTCACGAATGAATCGTTCAGACATATTTGGTTCATATGATTAATTGAAAAGAATTAAAATGATTCATGTCTTTTGTAATCTGAACAAATGATGCAAATGTCACTTTAGGGGCTTCAGACATCACTACGGCATGCTTTTTACTGTACACAAGAATTAAGTTGGCTTTATATATTTTAATAATATATATTTATATATCATTTATTATATCAATTTAATAATCAATGAACTAAATAAATTAAATTAAAATACATTATTATATAAATGATCAAATAACAATTACAAATGTTTAATTAAGAATATATGTATTCTTAGATTAAACATTTTTAATTGTTATTTTTATATAATATATATTACAATCTATATATATATATATATATTCTAATATGGAGAATTTAATAATAAACAACTAAAATATTACTGAAATGTTTTCCAATGAGCTGTTTTTCCCCCTAATGCAGACAGAAAATAGTTGACAGTGAGGCCTAAAACTTAGCGTGAACCCCTCATTATATCTAACCAAGAGACCGGGAGAGATCTGACTGCAGAATGACAGGGAAACCGGCACAGAGTCGTTCGTGCTCCTCCAGTTCATCCCTTGCTGCAGTGTGTAAAAAAGCGCAATCGCACCAAGGCCTTTTCTCCGCCGTGGCTAATGCCCACCTACCACATCTCTCTACTTTCATTATCTTAACGCAGAGCCGGTAATTGCCGCCTTTCTGGAACAACAGAAGCATATTCATTAATGGTCGGACACCCCCCACAGTCAGATAAACAATCTAAATGTAAATGTCAGCAGGCAAAGACAATGAGTCGAGACAGAATATTAATGGCTCAAATCTAAGCGTGGCACGCTTTCCTCTCAGCCGAAGAGGATGGGGGGAGGAAGACACAACCGAGGGGGAGGGGAGTGGGGTATTATGAAGCATTCTCTCCATCCATCCATCCATCCATCCATCGCTCTCTGCGTCTTCTCTACACCCCCCTGGTTAATCCAGTGCCATGTGCCAAAGTATTCCCTGCCACCCCGGTCCTTTGATTCGCCCCTCCCACAACATCATTGAAATTTATATATGTATGGTGCTTTACATTTTATTAATCACTACTGATCAGAAGCTCTTTTGGCTTGGGCTGAAAGAGGCAGGGCTTCATTAATGTATCAAGAAAGAAAAAATAACATCTATTGGCTCTCAAAATAAATTTTTCAAGATATAGTCGTGCTTAAATCATTTATTCATCAAAGCCAGGGAAATTATTAGGACAAAAACATCTTTTGGTGCTCACTAATTACCTTGTTCTTGACAAACAGACAAAATATCTTATTCTCACTATCTAATAATTAACACTAGGAGAAGAAGCAGTGGCATGAATTTGTTTGTTACATTTTCTTCGCACCTCAAGCATCCTTCTGGTCGAAAGTTTGGGCAGGGACAACTTGTACGTCTTGTTTAACAATGATATTCTTCACAAGAAAAACCATTTTCATGAATAAACATCACTGACATGTTCAAATCTAACATTTATAAGGATGGAGAACGGTAGAGGGCATGGGGTCTAATAAGGAAGACAGTGCCATGACAGTGCCACCCCTGAAGCAAACATTTCCGCTCTCTTAGACTGTTCTGTCCGGGTTTTGGATGAATAACTATGATGCCTAGGAGCCTTTTTCGTAAAGCCGAAAAATCTGTCTGAATAATGAGGCTAATCACAGGAAAGTCTTTATCCGTGCTGGCATTTGCACTCTCTGCCAGCCAATGCCATTTCTGCGCAGCGCTCTTCGAGTTAGTGCTGCTCTATTTCAGCTCCGCACACCATAGATATAAATATTCTATTAAATATGTAGAGCTCCTTAAGAAAAGCCAACTTGGACTGTCAGACAAATATTAAGCGGCATTTAACCAAACACAAGAGTTATAAAAA